GCAGAACTGCAGTCAGCTGAAGTAGCCTGCAGAGCTGCATTTAACCACTGCGCCACCTCGGCTTTAATCTATGAAGGCAAATATACGTGTCCCAGGATAATGTTGCAGGATCCAACCTGGGCTGGTCACCAGGACCAGAGGTTTTGGCTTTTGAGTTTTCGAACTCATGCTGGAGCCCATCTTCAGGGAACTTCTTTCTAGCTGCTAGAGAAAAGTTCCCTGAAGATGGGCTCCAGCATGATTCTGAAAGCTCGGAAGACAAAACCAACCCAGATTTGATGCTCACTTTGAGGCATATTGGCCCACTCCAAGATGAACACAACTGCATGTTAGTCAACGGCAAAGAAAGATGAGGGTATTAATACGAGAGGTCCACCATTAAGCTGCCATAAACTCCTTGTTGTCTAATCAGTAGATAAGACTGATAGATAAGACTTGATTAAGGAGGGGAGGGGTCCTTGGTGCTCTCTGAGCTTGGTTATTTCCTTGCAGACACTCCATTAACAAACTTGGTAACGTCATCAATGTTAGCACTGATGACTAGCATTGCTGATGTTATCTAGTTTGGGTAATGAGACATCTGCAAGAAAACAGGCAAGCTCAGCAAGCATGAAGGACCCCTCATTTCAACCCTGAGTTACAAATGTTCTCCTTTATTAGCTTTTGAGTAAGCAGGTAGATCAGGTACATGGGGTTATTATCGTAAGAAACTAACATTAGAGCTGAATCCACCTGACACTGCACGAATGTAGCCAGGATATGAAATTAGAAACTTTAGGAAGTCAGATGATTTAAAAGCCAGGCAAGCAAGAATTGTACATCTTCAAAGGTGGGAAGAGACTGCTACTCTGGGGAGCTGCTGATGGAAATGGCATGTTTGCTTAGGACATCTGTTATCGCTCTTGTTATTGAGGGGACTGAAAACTTGGCTGGCCTCTTAACTGTCTTACTTCAAGGCAGTTTGCACCTTGTGATAGTTGTCTTAACATTGTACTTTGCATCAAGCTCACCAAAGCACACTACTTTTTTGGGATATTTATTTATTTATTTATTTATTTATTTATTTATTTATTTATTTATTTNCTGTGTTTATTGTTTAATGTTATATGGTCCCGGTTCTGCACAGTATATATGTGACTGTACGAAAATGAAAATGGAAAATAAAAAACACATTTACACAGAATGGGCAGGTTGTGTTTTTTTGCCAGAAGTAGATTGGAAATCAGAAAAGAAAGCCGAAAATTGCAGTCACGTGATCACAGGATGATGCAACCCCCCCCCCCCTGCAAAGTGAGCTTATTGCCAACAGCCAGAATTTGATCTCTTCACCCCACACAAACACACACACACACACACGTCCCCCGCATACCTTGCCAAAGCAGGAGACAGGCCTCCCCTTGCCCTTAAAGGAGGCTTTCCACGAACTACTGGAACTTCGGCGTTTTCTGAGCCGCCATTCAAGTAAGTTAATTCCTGCAACTGTGCTTGTCGGATTTCGTCGTTGTAGTCCTGAACAGAAAAGGGGAGGGGGGAAGGGGGGAGGGAAAAGACATCACGCTGTTGAAGCTGCACTTGTGTCAAAGCCTTAAAAGCATTTTTTTTCCTATTTCATGGTTCTATGATTATAAGAAAGGAGAGTTGTAGAACTGGTTTTTTTTATTTATTTTTTTGGTAGAGAGCCGATTCAACACTCTGATAAAACAAAAATGGTGCAAAACAAACATCTGGAAGAAAGTATTCCATGGGATTTAAGAAATCCAAGCCTGAAAGTCTCTTTTTTCCCCCTCTTTAAGCTTACTTTAAGCTGGTGAGGGCGCGGGGGAAAAAATAGGCAAGAAGTGTCTTGCTGGATCAAGCTGGCTTTGAAAATATTTCCCCTCCCTCCTCCTGTTTGTCCTCCGAATCTTGTGGGAAGAGATTTAATGCTTCTGTATCTACAGACTTTATTATTTGCCGTGGTCAACAGCCCTTTACAGTCAGACCAGCGTTCTTTTAAACTGCCTGAGGTCAACTTGTCTGTAACTTCCACACTGTAGAAATCCCAGAAATTGAATCCTCAATCAAATGAAGTCTTAAGAATTGCAGTTGCCAAAGCATAGTCCCGTATTTTTCAGAGTATAAGACGCTTTGAAGTATAAGACCCACCTAGCTTTAGGGGAGGAAAACAAGAAAAAAAAATCTGCCTCTGTCTCCCAGCAATTTGCCTCCTTGAAGCAAACAGCAAACAGCCTGTTTCAGTTTCAGTTTAGCCAGATTACAACAGTTCACTTAGTGACCGTTCAGTTACAGCGACACTGAAAAGTGTGACTTGATTACTGTTTTCCACAATTATGACCACTGAAGCATCCCCATGGTCATGTGATTTTACATCTGGATGCTTGGTGAGTAGTTTATATTTAGCAATAGCAATAGCAGTTAGACTTATATACCGCTTCATAGGGCTTTCAGCCCTCTCTAAGCGGTTTACAGAGTCAGCATATTGCCCCCAACAACAATCCGGGTTCTCATTTTACCCACCTCGGAAGGATAGAAGGCTGAGTCAACCTTGAGCCGGTGAGATTTGAACAGCCGAACTGCAGTCAGCTGAAGTAGCCTGCAGTGCTGCATTTAACCACTGTGCCACCTCGGCTCTCATATTTATGACAGTCACAGCGTCCGGGGACCATAGGAGCCGAGGTGGCGCAGTGGTTAAATGCAGCACTGCAGGCTACTTCAGCTGACTGCAGTTCTGCAGTTCGGCTGTTCAAATCTCACCGGCTCAGGGTTGACTCAGCCTTCCATCCTTCCGAGGTGGGTAAAATGAGGACCCAGATTGTTGTTGGGGGCAATATGCTGACTCTGTAAACCGCTTAGAGAGGGCTGAAAGCCCTATGAAGCGGTATATAAGTCTAACTGCTATTGCTATTGCTATTTTTGTGACCATCTGACAAAGAAAGTCAATGGGGAAGCCAGATTCACTTTAACAACCATGTTACTAATTTAACAACTGCAGTGATTTCCTTAACAAATGCGACAAGCAAAGTCATAAAACAGGGCAAAATTCACTTGACAAATTTCTTCTTTAGAAACGTCAATATTGGGCTCAATTGTGGTTGTACGTTGAGGACTCCCCGTACTTAATATAAGCTGTGGATGTGTAGCGTAGGCTGAATTCTTCATTTGTATTCAGACTTGAGTTTTGCTGACAGGTTGGATTTTAAGAACCTTGAAAAACCTCCAAGCAGAAGGCGCCAGGCCACAAATAAAGAGGCAAGCAATAAACTTTTCTACTCTCCATTGTCTGCCTTTTCAAGAGAACTGAAGGAATTATTTCAGTTCCCAGAATGCCTGCCCTAGAAAAAAAAAGATAATTTAATAATCTTGCATATTAAAAGAAGATGCGTTCTTCCTCGTGCAGGATGGGAGGAAAAAACAAAATCGATAAATGAACTGAAGTTAGCTCTTCCAAGCTCAATTTCTCTTGCAGAATAGTCTATAATTGAGTTAGATAACGTTGCTTAAAGGAGGATGAAGGAAGCCAATATGGTTTCTTTCATCTTACTCCCACAGGGACTCTAGATAGGTTTCCTTTCCCACTGAAGAAATGTTACCCCGATGCTAAATTCATAAATCCTGTCAGGATTGCTAAACACTTCATTAAATGAACAACTGGAAGAACAGCTTGAAAACATTTGTCTTTAAAAACGGGGAGGGGGGGAGAGAGAGGCATGCCACCTTTCATATAAAAACTCTTGTCTTTGTTGTGAGTCTGAAAATGCACAAAACACAGTTGGAACGAGTTGCATTTCTATTCTAGTGTTTTTATACATTTCTCCGCTGGAAACATCAGAAATTTTAGCCGTAGAGGCATAAATCACAAATCTCTAAGGGCTGATCTTGAAGGATTCATGATACCCAGATTTTAAGGTAATAAAGAATACATGTATCCATAGGTTAATGTTAATCTCTAGTTACACATAATTAGGTCCGTATTTTAAGAAGAAGAAAAGCTTTTAAGTCACAGAAGAATCAATGAAACAAGAGCAACAAAGATGATTAGGGAACTGCGGGCTAAAATATATACACAATGGTTGCTGGAATTGGGTATGTCTAGATTAATGAAAAGAAGGACCAAGGGAGACATGATAGCAGTGTTCCGATATCTCAGGGGCTGCCACAAAGAAGAGGGAGTCAAACTATTCTCCAAGGCACCTTTTCAGGTAGGTCAAGAAGCAATGGGTGGAAACTAATCAAGGAGAAAAGCAACCTACAACCAAGGAGAAATTTCTTAATAATTAAAACAATTAACCAGTGGACCAACTTGACTCCAGAAATTGTGGATGCTCTTAACACTGTAAGTTTTTAAGAAGAGAGTGGATAACCATTTATCTGAAATGGTACAGGGATTCCTGCCTAAGCAGGGTGTTGGACTAGAAGACCTCCAAGACCCCTTCCAACTATTCTATTCTATTCTATTCTATTCCCATCCCTATCCCATTCTGAAATTTCTGTGCCTTGGTCTCTAGTTCTGATATTTATTTCATAGGAAGCGGGGAGGTGATTTTTTTTTGTGTGCTTATTGCGATTTATAAACACACAAACTGTTTTCCAAACGAATACTGGAGATTGTTTACAAGAAGGTTGTACTACAAAACATTGAACAAGCCGTGAAAGACCAATGAAATGATATTAGTCTAGAGCAGTGTTTCTCAACCTTGGCAACTTGAAGATGTCCGGACTTCAACTCCCAGAATTCCCCAGCCAGCGAATGCTGGCTGGGGAATCCTGGGAGTTGAAGTCCGGACATCTTCAAGTTGCCAAGGTTGAGAAACACTGCTCTAGAGATACTAGAGATTAGTCCATATAGATGGTCCTCGACTTACACCACTTCATTCAATGGCCTTTCAAAGTTATAACAGCACTGAGGGGGGGGGGAGTGACCTATGGCCGTTTCTCTCACAACCGCTGCAGCATCCCCACGGTCACATGACCAAAATTCAGATGGCTGAAAACTGAGTCATATCTATGGCGGTTGCAATGCCCCTGGGTCATGTGATCATCTTTGGCAGAGTCAATGGGGAAGCCAGACTCACTCAACTACTGTGTTACTAACGTAACAACTGCAGTAATTCACTTAACTCCAGCAGGAAAAGTCGTACAATGGGGCAAAAACTCACTTAACAAATGTCTCGCTTAGCCACAGAAATGTGGGGCTCAATTGTGATCATAAGTCACAGGCTACTTGTATTATTATCAACCTGGAGAATGTTGGTTGGTTATGGTCCTGGCACTATTTTATCTTCCTCCACAATTTTAATGTAGTAACACAGCAGCCTTGCCAAGGTGCTACAAGTGTTATATAACAAGTAACTTATTATTTATTTATTTATTTATTTATTTATTTATTTAATTAATTAAATATATTTATATGCCGCCCAATCCCGAAGGACTCCGGGCGGCTAACTTACATATTTTCAGCCCCCAAACAGCATACTTGGGTTTCAGGCTTCTTCATAACACTGTCACTTCAGTGCAAAAATGCAAGATTTTTCTAACGTTCAGAAGATTTGGGAATGCATTCATTTCTAATGACTAAAATACTTAATTTATCATGTCTTTGTAATGATAAATTTTCTATTAGTGTTTTTTTTAGGGAATTACAAAATATATAGAATCTTGAAATGACTGTGTAGATTTATGTATAAGCCCATCCACGGATAAGAGGACCCCTTTTAACCTAAAAAAAGTGAAAAAGTGCCACCCACAAATAATTCAACCCTCAAATATTTCACATGTTTTAATTTTTAATAATTGGCTTATCTGTGGATAATCCACGGATTATCCATTTTTCATGGCATTGTAATTAAAAATTCAAGGGTCAGCTTATCTCCGCATATGTGAGCATATATGGAATATATGGGTACTTTTTAAATATTATTGTGTATGCATAGGAAAGCCCAATCTCTGCATAAGCTAAATCCAATTTTGACACAAAATTCTCAGCTTATTTGCGTGTATATACCGTATTTTTTGGAGTATAAGACACACCTTTCTACCCCCTAAAAGAGTGGTGCATATTATACACTGAATTAGCCCCTCCCCTACATCCCATTTTTGTGAAAAATGGCCCGTTGTTTTTTTTTTTTTTTTGCAAAAACTGAGGTGTTGTTGCCTTCCCCCAGCCCACAGAAGCACTGCTCCCGTTTCTGTGAAAAATGGCTGTTTTTTTGCCAAAATGGGGGTGTTTTTGCCTTCCCCCAACCCTGATGAAGCCTTGAGTTCTCCTAGGGGCCGGGGAAGACAAAAACTTTTTTTTCTTACTTACCTCTTCGAAATCTTGTTGCGTCTTATAGTCCAAAAAATACGGTATGTGGTATACTGCATGCCAAGTGGTTTGCGACATATAGTAAAACTCAATTTAACATATTCCTGGGTAGAAGCTAACTGTTAAAACTTAAGTGACCATTAGATTCAATACAAGTGTACACCATCTGCATAATTTATGTCAATGACATAAATTGGCAGAATTAATGTAAAGTTCAGTGAACCATTTAAACGAGTACGGATATAATGAGTGAAACCCATTATTTTAGAGAAAATGTCCAAATACGTATACTGTCTGCTGAAGCCAAAAATAAATTGGAGTCTAATCAAGGGTTTCCTGTACATGCAAATATTTCAATCCTTGAGATAACTATAAAATGCTATCTCATTTGGTATTCTCTTCTCTTTTTGCATGGTTCGGCAAAACTTTTATGCTAGGCCATTAAAATATTTTAATTTTTAAGTATTGTAATGCTTCTGTTCTGTAGGCTGCTTTCGATCATCTTAATGTTTTCCGCTTTTATGGTCTTTTGAAATTGGCTTCTTTTTTTAAAATTTATCAGCAGTGGGAAAGTAATCAAGAAGTATTTGTCCTAATAATCTACAACATGAACGTACCACCCTTAACTGGATTACCTGCGGCTACATACTCATTACTGTATTTTTAAAGGTTTTGAAGAGGCAAATAAAAAAAAGTTTTTGCACTGTGCAAACCTCCCAAGAACAGCCCGTTTTTTGCGAGAAGGTGCCCGTTCCCCCCCCCCCAAAAGGCATGAATAGCCAGTGAAAAACAGGCTCCCGGGCTCCGTTTCTGGCTGCAAAGGCCTCCTGCAACCCTTTGCCAGTGAAAACGGACCTTGGGAGGGCCGCACAATACTCTTGTGAGCTCCGTTTTTGCTGGCAGAGCACAGACATCCCTAACACAAGTGATGTCAAGCTGGCCACGCCCCTTGGCCACGCCCCCCGGTCCCCCGAAGTCAAACACAACCCTGATGCAGTCATCAATAAAATCGAGTTTGACACCCCTTTGTTAGGGATATGATTAGATTTTTTTCTTAGTTGTTTTGCATTTTGACTTTTGTAACATTTTGTAATTCTTTTCATTTCATTTCAATTCTGTCTGCTGCCCAGAGTCATTGAAACTGAAGAATGAATGAACGAATGAACGAACGAACAAGAATAATGGCAGTGATCGGTACTTACAGGAATGAGAAATTTCTTAATTTCTTCCAGCGCATGTCCCATTCTGGCATAGGCTTCAGCTGGCGGGGCAAACACTTCGATGAGAACATGCAGATCATCGTTTAGATGGAAATACTTTGCCTCTCCACTTTTCCTCAATTCTTCTTCCTGGGAAGATAGAAAAATATCGCATGGAATCATTGCATGAAGCAATGCAAGAAGTCAGACCATGATCATGGAATGCTTTACACACTGCTAAGGGCCGAGGGGGGAGAAGGGAATAATTAACCAAAATGAATTTGGGAATAAATATACCGTATGGATTTTTGTGTTATCACTTAGCTAAATAATTCCAAGATACCATGGGGCCCACTCTGCTAATCTTTTATGGCATACAGGTTGTCCTTGAAGTATGACTACAATTGAGCCCTTTATAATCTATAACCAAGCCAATTTTATGAGTAGAAACTAGGTCTCATGTCTTATAGATAACAAGTATCTATATGCCAGTATTGCTCAACTTTAGGCACTTTTAACATCTTTAGACTTCAACTCCCAGAATTCCCCAGCAAGCAATTCTGGGAGTTGAAGTCCAGAGGTGACCAAGATTGAGAAAAAATATTATGTGGTACCAGAGAGAGAATTCTGAATTAGATTGAATTTTGCCAACAATCCTGTCATGGTTCCATTCCATAGCTCAGGGGTCAGCAACCTGAGGCTCTGGAGCCGCATGTGGCTCCTTTCACCTTCGGCTCCCTGTCGCTGGTCGGCTCCACAATTGATAGGGCTTTCGGTTAGGACAGGTAGAGGAAAAAGGACGCCACACTTGGAGGAGACTATAGTGGGGGAACAGGACTTCCAGTTGGCTTCAGAATTGAAGGGGGGGGGGTCCCGTTAGGACCTTTGTGGCTCTTTGAGTGTTTAAGGTTGCCGACCCCTGCCCTAGCTGTTCAACAAATCTACGATGGTCTGCCTCTTAATCAAAAATTTGCTGGATTTTATACCACCGCCTTTGTAACCTGAAGTGGAACAAGGTGGAGCTACGCATCTTCTAAAGAACTTCCAGCCTTATGGGAATTCTCAAAATCCTGCTATGCTCTTAGAAATAAGATATACTTTGGATACCCCATTAAAAGCGGCTTATTTTCTCATTGACCCACCCACCACCAGAGGCCTAGATACCAGGAAAGATCTTGGAAGCCTGAAGGAAAAAAAAAATAACTATCTCCCAGGTTTTCTGGAAATGAAAGCTGAACAGACCTGTTGGCCTCTACAGCTGTCAATCCGCTAAGTATTGTAGCGCTGGCTTTAATATAGGCAACCTTCATTCACCCCACTTGATCACACCAAAAGAAGCACCAAACGAGCCCGAAGTGGCATGCGGCGCCTTGTCTCCCATCACGGGGGCCTTGCCTGTTTGTCTTCCGAGCCAAGGTGGCGCAGTGGTTAAATGCAGCACTGCAGGCTACTGCTAGATCAGCAGTTCAGCGGTTCAAATCTCACCGGCTCAGGGTTGACTCAGCCTTCCATCCTTCCGAGGTGGGTAAAATGAGGACCCAGATTGTTGGGGGCAATATGCTGACTCTCTGTAAACCGCTTAGAGAGACCTGAAAGGCCTATGAAGCGGTATATAAGTCTACTGCTATTGCTATTGCTATTTTTGGCGTGCATGTCCACGTGACACTCAGCTGTCCACGTGCGCGACAGTGCCAAAAACTGGTGTGCACATGCATGATTGTTGGGTGAGCATGCACGACACAACTTGGAAGTTCAGCTTTTCCATAGTGAGGCTCTGACAGGTGGGCATGTGATGTTTCCGGTGCCAAAAAGCTTCGCCATCACTGCTCTAGCACATAACGTTAAAGTCTGCTTTCAGTTTTCGCCTTTGTCACAACACTTTTCTTTCCCCAAGTGTTCTATTTTTGCTCAACTTTCTCTGTTCTGCCATTCTATCTTATCTCTGTTGCCTGGCAACTGAAATATTGGGATGCTTACCCAGATGGCATTGACCCTTTCAACACATATAGGGAATCACGGATGAACCACAGATAGGATAAAAGAGGGGAGGGTAAAGGGAGGCCTGGAACAAATATGACTTTTGGTATTTCGACCCCATCTACTTACAACCTAGTTGATAAATTAAGTTAGCCATCTCAAAATCTGGATTTTTTCTACCTACCTACCTACCTAGAGCATTTTCAAAATAGACACAGTGGCCCATCCCAGGTGTAGTGGTAAAAGGAATATGTGTGTGTATTTGTGTGCATATCTACACACACCCACATACACACACTCTTCCATTTTCCACTGCACTTCGGTGGGCCATTCCGTTTATTTCATTAAAGGCTTGGGCATGCTGTGTTATGCTTTGTGAAGAATTAGATAAAATATTGCTTGTAAAATAAGATAAATGGTTGCTGATTGGAGGAAAAACAAAACTAGACCTACAGAGCAATGTTACTAAGGATTTGAGGAGGGGCATTTAAGGACATTCCTTGCCCACAAGTACATCAGAAGCTTCTGGTATACTGAATAGTCAGAAATCCGTGATGGCCTCTCTAGCCTGTGTGTGTTCTGAAGTGCTTCTATAGTATTGTTCTAGCTAGGGTGTATTAAAAATACACTACGCTACACTGTTTTTCCAATGAGGACCACAGACGCACATTTGACCAATCTGGTTAAAAGTTCTTGCATCTGCTCTTAGTTTGTGTCCTTGATTATGAGCTATGTAGGTTTGTGTCACTCAGAAATTACCTCTGGGTAAAGGTTCCCCTCGCACATGTGTGCTAGTTGTTCCTGACTCTAGGCGTCGGTGCTCATCTCCGTTTCAAAGCCGAAGAGCGAGCGCTCTCCGTGGTCATGTGAGCGGCATGATTAAATGCTGAATGCGCACGGGACACTGTTACCTTCCCACCAAAGGTGGTTCCTATTTTTCTACTTGCATTTTCTTTACGTGCTTTCGAACTGCTAGGTTGGCAGAAGCTGGGACAAATGACGGCGTTCGGGATTCGAACCGTCGACCTTTCTGATCGACAAGCTCAGCAGCCACTGAGCCACCGCGTCCCTCTAACCAAGGTAGACAAAATGGGGCAAAACTCACTCAACAACTATCTCACTTAGCAAAAGAAATTTTGGGCCAAAGGCACATGGAACGCTGTTACCTTCACACCAAAGGTGGTTCCTATTTTTCTACTTGCATTTTTACATGCTTTCGAACTGCTAGGTTGGCAGAAGCTGGGACAAGTAACGGGAGCTCACTCTGTTATGCTGCGCTAGGGGTTCAAACCGCCGAACTGCCAACCTTCCGATCGACCGTCTTAGCCACTGAGCCACTGCTTCTCTTACTTCTGGGTAACCATCTTTTTATTCCGAAATTTACAGCAAAAATAATGGGTTGACAGGCCGACGTAAATTGGGGAAGCTAACACACGTCAAAAGACGGATAGTTTGAGAAACAACGGTTAGTGGTAAGAAAGAACGAGTAGAAGAAAACATATATAAGGTCTCTGTCTTATTATCCTCTCCGTTTCTTTATTTCTTATTTTATTTCTTTATTGGTGGCATTGAGACAAACCGTGTTTGGTCCCCTCTCTGCATTCCAGTGCTGTCTTGCTCATAACTTAAAACGAAGGCGACTTTCGAAAGATGAAGAGAATTCTTTACTTTTTTAAGCAATTTAGCAAAGTCCACAAACAGAACGGAGTAGGAGCTGCGAGTAATAAATTTAATCTGGGGGAAAAAAAGCTAACCCAGCTTTCAGAAAAATCCTTTTTAACAGTGAGAGCTATTAGGCTCTAATAGTCTCCCGTGGGAAACAATGCACGCCCCGATATCCTGAATAATTTAAAGAGTGAACAAAGCAGAGAGATACAACAAACAAACAAACTACCTGTTAAAGCAACCCTCGCAGGCTCTACTAAGATGGTCTAAAGAGCATCCAGGATGGAAAAAGTGCACATTAAAACTGTAATAAAGGTATTATATGGTAATGGGTGGTGGGGGTGGGGCTGTCGAGCAAAGTGAACAAGAGGATTACAGACCAGCTCCTTGCTGGTTCAGACAACAGATAACAGCGAAGGTTACTGAAATTGCAATAGCACTTAAGACTTATATACTACTTCACAGTGCTTTACAACACTCTCTTAAGTCAGAGGTGGCAAACACGTTTTCATTGAGAGGGATGCATCAGGGTTGAGTTGGACCTTGTGGGGGAAAGGGGCTGGGGTGGGGGTGGCCTGCTCGCAACTGTTCTTCAAACGTGAGAAGAACGGTTGCAGGAACTGGGGATGTCTAGTTTAATGGAAAGAAGGACTAGGGGAGAGATGATAGCAGTGTTCCAATATCTCAGGGGCTGCCACAAAGAAGAGGGAGTCAAGCTATTCTCCAAAGCACCTGAGGGCAGGACAAGAAGCAATGGGTGGAAACTAATCAAGGAAAGATCCAGCCTAGAACTAAGGAGAAATTTCCTGATAGTGAGAACAATTAATCAGTGGAACAGAAATTGCCTCCAGA